CATAGAGGTTCTGTGCAAAACCTAAAAAAAGCCCTTTTCCAGACCTTCGCTCACGTGTACTTTGAAAAGGTCCTAATGAGAGAAGTACAGTGTTTCGAGGATTTCATCTCACTGTTGGAAGGTATTGGACAAGCGCATATCCCACCATTACGGAAGGAAATAGAACGATTCATCTGTCGGGAAGTGATATCGGTTAGTGGCAGTTTTCTTCTTTATCTTCTTTTATTTTACTGGCCTTTTCCTTTCCTTGCTTATTATGAACCAGCTTATGAGAGTTCATTCATATTATTTTTTATTTTAATTGGGACAATCGTTTTATGACGATTTCTAGCCACAGATAGGTACAGGTAACCCTCATCTGGCAGTCTTGCCATCGCTCGATAGGTGTTAGTATGAAAGTGTGGATGCCACAGGGAGGTCATTTCCGTAGTCCTACAGATTCCATTTCACAGAATTACCAGGAAGTAGAATGGCACAGCTGATGGGTGAGGGGGGGGGGGCTGAGTTGTGTAGTGAGAGTGAGAGAGAGTTGAGACTCTTAGCGCACTAGAAAAGCCTACAAAGATGGATACTCCAGACATTACCTTTAGACCCTTTTCTGGATACTGTTATCCTCAGAATCCTTGGAGCCATCATGTGTGGGATCCCAGTGGTCATGACAGCAAAAGGACCGAATGGTGAAAAAGAAGTCATTGACAATAGCGAGGTTGCCTAAAGAACAGGGTGGCTGGCATCTCGCACCATCGTTTGTAACTTTTGCCAGGAAGCTGCCCGCGACCAACCCTGGACCTTGAGGGGTATGGGGCTGTACTTCTCGTTCGCGGCTAGAATACTGAATAAATAGGCGTTGCAAAGGAGTGACGTGCGCAGTATCCGCACCAGGACCCGACCACTCCACATGACAACGGCGTTGCGCGTCTACTCTGTCTCTTAAAGGCAGTTGGCACGATAAATCCCTGAAAACGAGTAGGATTGATACGCCTGGCAGGGCGGATTTCCGCGACCCTGAGTAGGCGCTGCATAGCGGTTTTTCCTAGGGAGGTACCCTTATAAGGGTCCTATCAAGCTACAACATACCGACCCAAACGCCCGCCACGCCCGCCCGCCCACAAATGGACGACCTTACCAGATGCTCGTTTTGCTTCATTTGCTGAGTAAAACATCAACGAACACAAACAAAAGCGAAGGGATTAGTATGAAGCGGCTGCGGTGCTGAATGGATATATGAGTACATACATGCAGCCGTACCTGCCGGAGCGGTTATTTGCAATACGCCTACGGGAAACTCGTCCGAAATTGCTTTTCAAGAACGAAGGCTTTTCTTCGCAGTTTTGACCGTTTCACTTCGTTTTTCGCCATTTTCCCCACTAGATAGCGCCCTGCTAGCATTTCAGGCTGAGTACCAAATTATCGTGCCAACTGCCTTTAAGTCAACTCGTACTCCTGCATCGCAACTGGACACCAAGGCAGCTGCTGCAGGCCCACACCGATACTGTAGGCCACTTGAGCTCGAGATAGATGATGGATGACTTCTCTCTTTGGCTGTGGTTGGCGAATTGATAAATTGCCCACAGAAGTGCCAGGAAACATTTTATTTTTACTTTTTCAATTTCCTTGTCAACATGTGCAACCTAAGCCTTGATGATACGTCGCCATGACGTGCACTTTGTCAGTCAACTATGTTTAAGGATGGCTGAGTAGCTGCGGGAGGTGATTAACGTGCGAAGCGGTCTTTCTTGGAATTCTGGTGCACTTGACAAATGATTGTTGCAGTTTTCATTGTAAACGTTCAGTTGTTTGTTCAAAACTTATAGTAGTGCTCGCGATCTCCTGGCGGTTGATTTACGTCCACGTGATGAAGGGGAAAATTGCGGTGTTGTCAGCGTGTCAACAAAAGTCACCAGTTCCGTGAAGGTGTAACATGGCCAAGTATCTGAAGCGTACCTTGTAATCTATCAATTCACTTTCACTTGGTGGTATTGAATCAAGCCTTATCAACACAAACACACTCTTGTTTAATTTTGACAACTGTAGTAGCTAGAAAAAATTATAGCATACGACCCCCTCCCCCCTCGAATTTTCACCATCTGATACCTACCCCCTTCGCCATCCTACCTACCATCGTCTCCCCAAAAAACTAACGCTGAAAGGGAGGGAGGACCAAGAAAAGTCAACAACCGGAAGCATTTTTTCTCAAAAGCAGATGCAACCATCGACCAAATGCGACCCCCTGTAGGGATTCCCAACTACGCGCCGTGTGTTGGTATACTGTAGAGTACTGCTAGCATACTAGCAATTGTGTAAAATACTGTGACCTCGCACTGTGAACTCGTAAAGCTAGGGAACTCAACCAACTGATTCTTGTGAGATTATCACGTCTGGATGTCATATTTGGACTTGAAAAGCTAGGAAAGGTATGAGGGGGCAGAGTTCGGGTGACGGTGCGCCGAAGCGACTATGCCTCTGAAATGATGAACCTTCTGTCAGGACATGCGAAAGCATTTTTCTGCCAAAGGAATCGTCAGCGGGATTCCGGAGCTACTCCTACAGTTCACCTCATCCTTCTGACTCGCGATCGTTTTTTGCACTTCTCCAGCTCTAAATACGCAAAAATATGGTGCTGGTGGCATTTCGTAGCCTGGAGGAGTTTACATGTCCCTACAAAACCGCCTGATATGTTGACGGGAAGTCACAAAATGATCCGTCCACCCCCCTAAGCGAATCTACGCATGGTTTTGTTATAAGTGTCATTGTATCGCAGAGCTTCGTTTGAATGCGTCAGAGTTGCGATGGCTGTAACATATATGGGTTTTGCACGTTCTTGTCAACAGTGGAATGTGTTATTCATTCATAGCCGTGGCCAGCATGGGCTGCTGGTTAATCACTTGTTGACAGTTGTAGGACGGGTATAGAATCTTCTTTATTGCCGCGAAGGCAACAAAAAAATGGTGTGTGATGTCGTTGACTTTTTTGAATTGAAAGCAAAGCCGATGTGGGTGAGAGAGGGACGTTGTAAACAATGGGATAAAGAGAAGCTCAGTATAGTTCGATGGGAGGAGGAGGGGGGTGCAGGTCGAAGTGGTCATTATCGTATCATCAGACTTGTTTTCAAAAACTGATTCGGAATCGAAAGCTTTTGGAAAAAAAACCCCACTACTCTCCGAAAGGGCTGTAAAGGTTTTTGCTTGCACCTTGTCTTGTCTCGCCCTAGTCGGCTTTTTCAGATGCGCCTTTGAATTGTATTTGAATTGTAGGAAGGAAACCTGACTGTGGGCAAGGTAGTCGTATTTGGCCACGATTCTCTCTGCCATTGTCGATTTTTCTTGTTTTTTTTCGCGCGCTTTACACCTCACCCCCCCCCTCCTCCTCCCGCTCGGCGTTCAAGTTTGGAAAAATCGGTAAGATGGTATGTGTATTGTGGAAAGATCGCTTTTAGGAGGAAAATGGTCTGTGGGGAAGTGGGGGGGGGACCGAGAAGTCACCATCATGTCACTCATCCCGATGCTATACCTTGTATCCGTGGTCCAGTTAGTATAATAATAAAGTAGTAAGTAGTAGTGAAGTGGTCTAGTACCAATCACCCGACGGGTGGAACTTGAGGTTTCTTTGGATTGGTATCTGCTCCAAACGTCCTACCGCTGGGGACTGGAGAAAATTTTCGGAAAACTCTGAACCCCTCCCCGTTTCGCCCTCTGCTCCGACTCCCCGTCCCATCCTACGTTCTGTC